GGCAGTCACATAATTAATATACATGTATGGTCATCATATGACAACCCTATATGCATTTTGCCCTGAAGCACATTTCAGTATGCAAACAAGGTCATGCCCATTGTAGTCTGGGGCTAGTGGATTTTCCAGGAGGGCTAGTGAATTCTATTTGTCACTTGCCAGATGAATGTGTGAAATTTCTTACTAGGAAAATGTTTTGATTTACAGAATTATTGTGAGAGATGAACTTTTTGAGGGTTAGTGAGAAGGAGTTTTGGGCTAGTACATTACAGTTAGAACTTGCCCAAAGGGAAAGCCCCCAAATTTGTTTTCTTTGCACCCAGTATTTCCAAAAACAGAAAACCCTTTATCCCACCCCTCCCTACCTGAAGTTGTTTTCTCTTCTTTTAAAGCCCCTGGAGGCGGGGGAGTGACTTTCATGACATCATTAATGGTTGAGCCTACAACCATCATTTTTACACCATTGGTGACATTTAATTCCCTTAACGTTTTGCTACCATCCTTGACAAGCCCTATGAAATAAAAGGAAATAAAAATAAATGATTCTCCCCCATGTAAAATTGTTCAGATGCTTAGCTCCCTGTGCAACTGGGAGGAAATGCTTCTCTGGGAATAAATGTTGAAAGGTAATGACCAGCATTGTGCTAAGATTCCCTGAACACATCAACAGTTCTCGTTCACTCTTAAGGGTGGAGACTAAGGCACTGTGAGAGTAAGGTGTCACACCCAACACCACAACACAGTTACTTCTGACAGCACTTGAATATGTCATGGTTCAATATTACACTTGGTACAGTTTGGTAATTTGCTTTGTCAGGGGTGGATTGGGGTGGAGGTGGATTGGGTGGCTAGCTTCTCCTGGTAAAGCAAAAAATGCAAAAAAATGAAAAAGATTGTGAACATTTTGGCAGAAATAAAGGCAAAAACTTTGGGCAGCCCCAAAGTAGCCCTTCCTTTGAAAGATCCTGGACTCCCCCTGCTTGCTTCATATAAAATATATTCCCATACAGCAGAACAAAGGAAAATACCAAATTGTACCAAGAGCAAAATTGAACCACAACTGATACGACAATTTTATAAAAGGCCAGTAACTAACTTTTTTGTAAAAAAAATCTTAACATATTTTCAACAAGTAAGTTCTTCTCGGAGTTATTGGTTAAATTCTTACTGAACAACAGGTTTGCCTTTTAAAACACTTTACAACTTGAAAGAGTGTTACCAAACACTGATGTAAATGGCACTGACAAATCTTTGGAAATAAATGACTAATTCCTGCATGTCATTACCTTTGTACATTAACTTTTGCATCGACACTGGTAAACCTGTTTTGAAAGAATTATATTCATTACAATATCCACCACAAAAATACTAGTCAAATAATAAAGCTCAGCAAGGCTGAGTAAGCCAAGTGCAGATGAAAAGGAAGTAACTTCAACTTAAGAGGCCTTCCAAGGGTAAATGTGACAGGTGACATGACCCTGAAAACCAGCAACACAAGAATTTCTAATCAGCAACAAGCGAATTGAATGCAGCACTAAAATTCGACAGCAACACAAGAAGCACAAGAAGAGACAGTGACATTGACCTTTTCGGACTTTTTGCCTATTTAGAAATTGTATTCTCTTGTAAAGTCTGTAAATGTCAGAAACTTGTGTGCTTTTCCTTTTAATAAACTCTGAGAAAATCAACCTTGTAACAGCAGTGACATATGATTTCATGCAGAAAAATGACAGTGACATTTGCTTCTGCTGATTAGGCAACATTAGTACACAAAAGGATGTGACATGGTGACATAGTTACCCCCTTGAAAGGCCTCACTAAAGGCAAAATCTAGACATCTGGTCAAATGTAACCCAAGTAAACTGACTCTATTCAGTGTTCAATTCTTCCCTGAGAGAGGAATTTTATTTTGTTACAATAGAGACATCGAAATTTGTCCTGATAAAGTCCATATATAGAGATTCATATTTGCTAATCTCTTATTTGGGTTTTGCCCAGTTTAACAAATAGATTCCATGCTGCCATGTGTCTGTTCAGTAATTGATCACAGATGGTGTCAAAATGTGCTGAGAACAAAAAAGTGGAACATGAGGCGATGGTCGAGTGTGTCACTGATGTTCTTACCACATTTTTACATCTTCTGCTATCAATTACTGAACAGGTGCACCGTAAGATGGGATAAAACATAAAAACAACTTGTTAATGTCGTTATCTATGCATCTGTCCTTCACTTGATCATATAAGTAAGAACCAATCAAAAAGCCAGAATAATTTGACATATTATATAAATTGGATTTTTGCATGCAAAAAAACAGCTACCATTAACCAAAGACACTAAACATATCTCTCCATAAAGTACTTGTCTATTGTGAGATAACTCTCCAGTAATAGAAGACAGACTCACTGATAATGTTAATAGTGGAGGGGGACAGGGAGGGCGGGAATGGGCAGGGGTGGGAACCTAGGAGTAAAAGGGGTGGGAACCTTACAGGAGGTAAGAGAGGACAGGAAGTGGGACTCCAACCTGGCAGGAACACAGAGACATACATGTAGGAGGGACGGTTGCAACATTGTTAAAAAATATAGGGGAATACAGAAGGTACCAAGGGGAGGTAGACAGCCCACTTAACAGATCAAGTTCTAATATGCAAAAAGTAATGCAAAATCAATTCAACATACCATATGAAAAACAATTGGCCTTTTTGCAATGAAAGAGGTATTATTTCGTAACTGTTGTTATATCCCAGACTCTTCTTTAATATGCCGGTTACCAGGCATGAGTAAGAATGAATTGTGTTCATTTTCCCCCTTAAGTCAGTTCGCCCAAATCCAGTTCACCCGGACTGAAAGTTGGTTCATCTGGACTGTAAGCTCTGTGGTCAGTGGATTAACGAACGAGAAAAGGCATGTTTTGTGTATTTTTGTTTCATCATCTTTTTTGCTTGTTTAGTTTAAAGAGAGATGAGTTACCACATCCTTCTTTGAACTTTCAGTTCCGGCAAAGGGACTTTCAGTCTGGGCAAACTGACATCAGGCGAAATGACCAGTTACTGAAAGAATACCTGCTATCTAAATTAACAATACAAATGCTTGACCAAAATTACCCTTCATCCACACCCAAATATTTTATTTCTTTGTTAGAGAACATGTCATAACATGACATGTCAACTAATTAGTTGAAATTGCTTGCATGACCATACAACCAAAACAAATTTTGCCAGACATTACACTGATCTCTTCCAGGCAGGGACTGCAAAGATCTGGGAATTGAGATGGCACCCCACACCACCCCAAGTCATATCCAAAAATCCACTCTGCCCGAAAAATCACAAGCATTGTACTGTACTCTGCTTTTAAAGTTTACAATAATATATTTTTTTTACCGCACCGTTCAATAAATTCAATTGTTAAATAGCAATGATGTGTTAAAACTGGATTTAAACAGGGCAGAGGCAAACAAACTTAGAAACGTTAAACAGAATGAAACAGGGCATTAAGTGCGAGCCAACATGTCACCAAACCTGTCAGATTTTCGATGTGTTGCTTCAGGCTATCAGCTGTTTCATCAACAGGAAAAGTAACCTCGTAATTTTTTTTGTTCCAAACCACACGGAAACTTGCAGTTTCTCTACTCGAAGAAGCCTGGTCTTCTTCTGTAGTGTCTTTTTCTTTCTCCTCGACGCTAAAATCTTCTTTTGATTTTTCGTTCATACATTCGGTTTCGTTTTCGACATCAGCACTTTGCAGACAACATTTTGGCTGACAAGGGTTCGATCCCGCAGTTTGGTCTGGTTCTGCCTTCAACTTGTCCTCTGTATCTACGACTGAAAAGAGAGGGAAAACATTTTAAACAGTCTCTTTTCGAAAACACTTGAAATGTTCAAACACTAGATTTCCGTGATTAGATTGATTTCAATACATCAAGGGAAAAAAAGTACCAGAGCCTTCTTCTTCCGCCATGTTTGTCCTCTCTCAGAGACCATGCGCAAAGATGTATTTACTGATCGCAGGCTCGCATAAAAAATCAAAATGGCGGACGTTCCGGAAAATGCACCCGAACGTAAGCATGATTTGCCATGTGTTTCTTGACTTTAACAAGTTCGATCTGTGAGTTTTGTTGCCCGACCTTACTCCTTTTCCTTTAACTGATAGACTGCCCTGGAACGGGAAGCGAGCAGGCCGGGAAAAGCAGCGCTTGTCAAGGTTGTCCAAATCAAAGTATTTGCGCCGCCAGCAAACCGTTGGGACCAGATCCAGGTAATTTGTTTACACGTAGTAATATTTGGGAGTGTACTTTATATTTAAAGTCACCGTAATTATGTGTCCTATGTGTGTCCCCTTAAAAATGGTAAATCTAAATAAATGCATTGTCACTGTTATTTTGCTGTCGTGTCGTGGTTTTCTGGGGGAGGGGAGGGGATTTGTCTTATGTGCACGTGCTTGCCAGGCTGATTACACACAGGGTGTGACAAGTACCCTAAGTCAAAGTGTCCCGAGTTACAATTTTTTTTTTTGTGAGAGAGAAAATTCCCAAATATTCCTCTCAAATCTTTGTGATATCCTTTTCTAACATGCTTCCCCATCACAAATGTTTGGAGCCTTGATTTCTTCTAAAATGCTAAGAAAGTCTTTACCTTGAAGAGATTGCACTGTCTTGCAAAGTCTCACATTTACCATTTGCTACCCCCTGCCTAGTCCATAGAATTATATTCTTGGTTCAGTGCCGTCTTGTTTTCTATCATGAGCAGTAATGCTGCCAGAAATTGCAGCATCAATAATAAGAATACCAATTTTTATACTTTGCGTAATGAAATAAAATAATTTTGTATTGTTTTAGCTGTAGAAGAGGTAAAGGAAAGAATGTCCTCAGTGAAGCACAAGATCCTGGTGTTGTCAGGCAAAGGAGGAGTTGGCAAAAGTACTTTTACAGCCCATTTAGCACATGGGCTTGCAGCTGATGACAGCAAACAGGTAAAAATAAATTATTCACTTCCCTGATTCACATACATGTATCATCTTTCTGTCATTCATAAGTACAAAATCCAGGTTAACATACCATAATGATTCGATTTAGCACCCTCCTTCCAATAAGTGCCCCCTTTTGAATAAGCGCCCCCTTCGAATGTGTTTTTATAAATAAGCGCCCCTATTTTAATACTATAATATTACAGTGCCGTCAGAGTACATATCAACAGAGGTTCATCTTCCTTAATTGTTCACATACAGTACTTAATGCCGCTTTACAAGAACAGTGGTCTTGTTTGTGTTTCCCTCAAAAAAGGAGTTTCCCAACTATTATGTCCATGTGAGGGCATAATTCCTTCAGACAAATGATCTCATCTTTAAGTTTTGTTTTGAACATTCGGGTTGTTTCTCAAATTAGAAATAAGCACCCTGTCCTAAATAAGCACCTTGTCTCAAATAAGCGCCCTCCTTTGAGGTACCAAAAGTAGATAAGCACCCGGGGTGATAAATCAAATTATTACGGTAATAGTTATTCCAACCTGGAGGTTTTTTTTTTCAAAAATTGATGATTATCTGCATATTTCAGATTGCAGTATTGGATGTTGATATTTGTGGTCCTTCTATTCCTAAAGTGATGGGTCTTGAGGGAGAACAGGTGAGATTTGCTGTCTGACCACCAGACTAAGAACTTCTGATGTAGGTACATAGAAAATTTAGCATAAGAGATCTTTCAGGTTATAGAGCAACATTGTGTGAGACAATACTGTGATTTACCATACCCTTTGAGCAGACCTGCCAACTCTCTCTTGATTTTTCCTTTTCTCACGGCCTTGCAACAAGACTCCCCAGCTCATGATTTTTTGGGGAAAATTCTGAAATGAAATACTACCCTGTTGACTAAAAAATAGAAAATTAATGGGGAATGCTAACTAGTGCTGGCCATAAAGTGATAAACTTATAAATGGGAACGTTTTTCTTACCCACCATAACATTTAATGATTTGTACTATACTGTGTGATTTGTGCTTTTGTTTACCATTTTTTGAAGACAGAAGTTAACCCTGGACCTTGATTTCATGCTGACTTTCCCTGTAATCTTTGCAAGTTCATGCAACATGTGCTGGGTGGGAGAGCGATCCCATATCAGATCAAAATGGCTAAAAGAAGGATTTGTTGAATTTTTACCAGGAAAAAAATAGAATCTCACTCTCTCTACTTTTTGTAGAATCTCCAGATATTGTTTGGTCTCTTTATTTCCCTTTATCAGGGGTTGACAGGTCTGAACGAGGGCATTGACAATGTTGTGGCACTATGCCAAACAACTTAACTGGAAAGTTAAATCTTACTTTTGTTTGCTCACAGGTACACCAAAGTGGCTCAGGATGGTCACCTGTGGTAAGAATTACAATAGGTGTCCTTGTTATGTGGTAAAGCTTCTGTAATTTTCTATTTAAATTTACTCTCTTTGAGAGAACCAGATGATGAGATCATTCATTCTTATCACCTGCTCAGTTACTGCGCTTATATTGTTTCACTTTAAGCCTGCATTATTTGATTTGTTTTGTTCAGTATGTAGAAGACAACCTTGGTGTTATGTCTGTGGGGTTCTTGCTAAGCAACCCCAGTGATGCTGTCATTTGGAGAGGACCGAAGAAAAATGGTAAGGCTTTTAATAAATAATTTTATTCCTTTTTCATTCTTGGAGGAGGTGCTTAGGCCTAAAGATTACTCCACTAGATTCTGGACTCAGTGGTCCTGTCTTTGATCCCTGGTTGCCGGGTTACTGCATTGTGTACCTGTCAAGACAGTTTCCTCTCGCAGTGCCTCTCTGCACCAAGGATTATAAATGAGTACTACAGCTGTACCAAACTATATGCCAGGGGGAAATGTTGTGAGGGAGGAGCAGAACAACTTGTACTTAGTACTGGCCTGATTTGCTGCAATTCTTGAATGCAGACTTTTAACTTCCTACAGACATATGGAATTAGTGCCTTGGCCTTTAGCAAGACACATTTCATATACACATACTCTCCCATCCAGACAGTTGCTATACTCAAAGTGTTGCAAAAACTGGAGCTGGGAACAGCGTTGTGAACCCTGTTTATGTTCCAGAATCAGTAGGCCAGAAAGTAAAAAAAGGTTTTAAATTAATTCTCTGTATTGCAAAAGAGTTAAAACATGCCTCTAGTCCATCTGACCACCACTGGTATGTCTGTTGTCAGGTTTAATTAAACAGTTCTTACGTGACGTTGACTGGGGTGAGGTGGACTTCCTTGTGGTGGACACACCCCCGGGCACCTCTGATGAGCACCTGTCCATTGTGCAGTACTTGAGCAACACATATGTCGATGGAGCCATTATCATAACAACTCCACAGGCAAGGACATAGATCAGTTAATTACAATTCTCTCCAGATACATGTCTTGCAGAAGTCCTTGAGGGTGTAAAGTGTATCCTGTTCAATTTGTGTTGTGAACTTCTTGTTGAAGTCTGTGTGCTGACAAAACTGGTTCCATCTGATTCAAAGCCACTGCCTAAGCCATTTACTGCAAGACTGCAGGCCTGTATTCTTATGGCAATTGCTTTGTCCACCTCCCTCCCTACCCACGTCAACTTTTTTCCTGGACATGCCTCTTGTTCTTGTTCTCTTCTCTTTCTTGTGATAGCTTGGGATGGGGAGGGGGAGGGGATGGTGTTACATTTTTGTGTTTGTTATTATTGAGGCTATACAAAGTTCAGCATGTTTTATATAATTATTGTTGATTTTCTTTCATTTCAGGAAGTGTCACTGCTTGATGTGCGTAAAGAAATCAACTTTTGTAAAAAAGTTAGAATGCCTATAATTGGAGTGGTGGAAAATATGAGTGGTTTTGTTTGTCCTAAATGCAAGGTAATTACTGTGCAACACAAAAATACCGACTTGCTGTAGTGTTCAGGTTGTAACAATTTCCTCTTTTCCCTCAAGGTACACTTAATGAGAAGTTTACAAATTGAATGTTTATTGTTTCTTATAAAAGGCCTGGCGAGTGGTGCAGTGTTGTGTGTGACACAAGCTGGCAGCATACATTACATATACAATAACATACATACAACCTCTATTTAAACACAGTTACATGTCACAGATTTCAGCGTGTGTGTTTGTAAAAGCGTGCCCTCAGTCCCTGAATGTTGTTTTTCATTCTACTTTTAACTTGTTGCAGTCACGATGTTTTTGTGTGACACTTTCTGGAAATGTTTCAACTGTGAAATTGTACTCAATGTTGGACATTGTATTCAGACCTCTCCCAACAAAATTGTTTTTTTGTTGTTGTTGTTGTTATCTTTTATCGACACAGAAAGAGTCTCAGATCTTTCCACCGACCACAGGAGGGGCTGAGAAAATGGCGGCTGATATGGAGATACCCTTTCTAGGCAAAGTACCGCTGGATCCCAGAATAGGTCGTTGCTGTGATGAAGGGAAATCTTTTCTGTCTGAAGTGCCAGAGTCACCGGCAGCTGATGCTTACAAGCAAATAATTCAAAGTACGTTCTTGATCTTGGTAGATAACTTGTGAAAGGAGCTCAGTCACGGTATTTTTAGTTATTTTGGCCACGTACAAAATTGCCTTTAAATTGAAGGAATCCTAAAAATAATAGTTTTTTAAGATAGAAAAACACGAAAGAAATCATAAGAAATCATAAGGGAACAAGGATGGTTGAGGATGGAGAAGATTGATAAGGATTATAAACGACCAACTTGAAAAATATAGGCTAAACTTTTCCACAAACCGTGACGTAGCTCCCCCAAGTGTGACACACTAGACGTCTATAGCGGCTTTCAATTGAGTGTCGAAAGGTACTTTGGTTTTGCACTTACTACGCTATATGATTGGCTTAAAAATCTCGCGCCACTTTTTCATCCAATCAGAAGTTAAATTAAAACCAATCCTGAGTCGATCGCACACGTTTTCCCGCGCTTCGCGTCAGCTACATGCGAGTAACGATTGGTTCACTGTATTGTTTGTGTCCTTTGTGATTGGCCGGAGTGATTACTTTGGTTTTGGTTTTACGACCATCAACTGAAAACCGCTTTATGCTGCAAACAGTCGTTATAAGTCAAGTGCAACGAATAGCAGTTATAAGCACCTGAAATTAAAAAAAAAAAAAGAAACACGAAAAAAACATAGAAATAAGTTATGTTATACTTACAGTATCAGTAATCCACCGACAGTTCAACTGGAATTACTTCAATCGTTCAATAAACGGACACCTTTGTAAAACCTATTAGTGACTAGCGCTTTTGTCCTTGTGCTTGATTGTTAACACATTAAAGCCCTGATTAGGACGGTAGTCAATCGCACTTCTTTGTTGTGTGCCCGACTGTTACGATAACAAATCACAGCGCGCCCTTGGTTGTGCGAAAGTAGTAGAACTTTGCACGCGCTCTATTTTTTGTGTTTTGATTGTGACGTTATTGTATTGCGCGCGCTCTATGTTACGAGTGATTGTTACGTTACTGAAATCGCGTGCTCTGCTTGCTTTGTGTCTCACTACAATGTCAGGCCCTGTCCACACTACGCCGGAGAAATTTGAAAACGGAGGATTCACTCTGAAAACGCATCAAATGTTTTCCGTCCACACTACGCCGGAGATAATTGAAAACGCAACAGTCACCGGTCATTTTGGATTTGTGTTTGAGGAAAACTTGGGCAAGGAAATCACATGATTATCGTATCGTCATTGTTTTCGGAAAGCTCCGTTTTCAAATTGTTTACCGTCCACACTGATTAAAACGCAAAGCCGACGTTTTCAAATTCCTGCGGTTTGAAGAGCGTTTTCGAAAAGCTGCGTTTTTGTGTCGGATTGGTGTGGACGGTACGCCTAACCGTAGAATTAAAGCTGCGTTTTCAAATTTCTCCGGCGTAGTGCGGACAGGGTCTTAGTGTATCGCGAGTAATTCATGAATTGTCATCACTTTCTTTTTTTCAGAGATTTTAGATTACTGTGGGAAGAAACTGGATGACAATTAATGGCAAATTGTTAAAGATTAAGGAGAACTGCATAGAACAACATGCGCTGATGAGTGGTATCGCCTGAAAATAACGCTCAGACTTACAACCATCGTCGACACAGGATAAAAGTAATCCCACGGATTGAAAGGACAGGAAGACGAGAGACTTGATTACTAACTACAAACATGCCTTTAAATAAAAACCCGACTACACACTTAAGCTTGCTGCAGAACAGTTAGGCAGGTTGATAGTTAAAGATAAACTTCTTCCTTCTGCTTCTGAAACACCCATGGACTGATATGCATGATAAAAGAACATGTCTCCAACACAGTCTATCTGAAAAGGAAGCAAAGAGACGTATTGTTAACTTTGAATGATTGCACTCATTCAGTTGGCGCCGGTGAAAATTTTGTGTGCAGCTTGATTCCATGGGTCATGTCTAGGAAGGTTATGTCTAGGAAGGTAGGTAGAGATTAGAATGCTAGAATATCTTGTAGAGATCACGCTTTGCGCCTTCTATGCTCCTACGCAGACTTTTGTTTGACTCGTAATGCGTCACGCACTTCCAGTGTCTACCTACGCCGTCGTAATATTGTCACGCCGGCTGTCACTCAAGCTTGCTGTAATAAGTTTAGCCGTGTGACATTGGTTCGTATCAAGAAATTTCAAGTGGGTTATCTGTGGTTTCATGGTCTCACTGATTGTAATGTGATCTCCTCTTACGGTGTAATTACGTTGTCAAGACGATAGTGATAGCGAGGAAATTTTCAGCTGTAAGATATTCTCTTGATGTGCTAGTAAATTCTTAAAACTCACATAAAAGGTAATGTATTACACTTAAGGAAAAATTTGAATTTCAATCTTGGGACTGTTGTTGCAAGGGTACGTTTGCAGAAACCGCCTGGCTGCGAATGAAGTTGAACTACCGTAAATCCTCGAATTAGCGCCCCCTCGAATAAGCGCCCCCTTCAAATAAGCGCTCCTCCTATCAGCCAATTTAAAATAAGGTCCCCCCCCGCCTCGAATAAGCACTCCCCTCCCCTCCCCCATTTTGTGGACGAGTAATGAGACAACAAATAAAGGATTTATAGTTTTCGTCGTGTAGTATTAGATTTGTATGTTGTTTCAGTTTGTGAACACGTTAAGTTTGGAAAAAAATTACAAGTACTAACGGTGCCTTAGGATCAGCTTTTTATGACGATACACAGCTTATGTTGCCGTTTTTGCGCAGGTGATGTATCAAAAATTGATCATGTCAGGCCACGATTTGGGAAAAATTTAATAAGTCCCCCCCCCCGTTCGATTAAGCGCGCCCCGTCTTCTCCTAATTTTGAAATTAGCATGCCGGGCGCTAATTCGGTACAAAGAAGGCACCGCCAAATAAGAACCTCGGAGCCATGTAAGAATATCGATACAATGGAATCCCGATTTCTCGAACCCTCGTTTTTTCGAACTTCCCGGTAACTCGAAACAAAAGTCGTTTCCCCTCCTTAGTCAACCGCTGTAATTTTATCCCCGATTTCTCGAACTAACCGATTTTTCGAATCAATTTTCGTTTTCCTTGGAGGTTCGGAAAATCGGGATTCCGCTGTATATCATTCTAGCTGGCTGTGCACTTCAGCTTTCCTGGTCTCTTTATAAGATCGGCTCACCCTAGGGCATGTGTTGTGGGGACGTGAAGCGATGGCAAGCCCCTTTGTGTGTACGCATAGAACGCATGTTGCAGGGACAGTACGCCAGCTGGTGCGCACGAAGCGAATATTGATTGATTTCTATGTCGGTTTGTAAGAGCAGTGCACACGATACTTCATGACGCACAAAATTAAAACCAGCGGATTTTCATGCAACATATTGCGGGGAACGTCCGTGCAACGTCTATCTCGGCCGGAATCAAAGCGACAAGGGAAGGGGGATGAAATTAAGCTAGTCAATCGCAGGGTTACCCCCAGCATTAAGTTCGTCGGTACCCATTTATACACCTGGGTGTAGAGAGGCGCTTTGAGAGTAAAGTATTTCTCCCAAGAACACAACGCAATGTCCCCGGCCTTGGCTCGAACCCGGACCGCTCGATCCGGAGACGAGCGCACTAACCATGAGGCCACCGCGCCTCCCACAATCTTAACTTTGCTATTCAGAAATTGTTCAGCCGGAATTTCATCGGATTCCTAAACAAACACTGTAATTTCTGACGATGTTGCCTACTCGTCAACATGGCTTCCAAAACCGTGATAAGGTCTGATAAGGTCTATCAATACCAAAAACATCCACGATGATAAACTGTGGCTGGAAACCATGAAGATAAGGAAGTGCAGAGATATCATGCCATTTACCCATTTTATTAGGCTTTATTGTATACGCAGATATAAATGCAACATAAATATTGTCTTCCGACATCTCGTCTCCATTTTGAATTTTTTTTTAAATAAATCACTAAGCGGTTAAAGCATTTTTTAGTTTGACCAATTACTTAATTTACTGACCGGTTTTAGGTAATGTAACCGTTGGTGTCCTTCAGTTAAGTAATACAGAGCGTAAGCTTTTATGTAAAACTGGGGGCTGTCTGTTGTTTACAGATTAATGATCTCTTTGCATCCCTAAATTCTTTTCAACTTACAGTAGCGGAATGGAAAAATACCATGAGAACGAGGATTTCCGAAAGGACGAGTCTTGTCTTGTACTTGCTCCTCGTCACAGTTTCGCATTTTAAAAAGTTTAGCCTAAATTTTTCCGTTTTAAATCCTTGTCAATCTTCGCCATCCCTGACCATCCTGGCTTCTTTATGATGTATTATTATTTTTTTGGTGTTTTTCCATCTAAGTAAACTACTGTTTTCAGGTTCCCTTCAGTTTATATAAGGCAATTTTGTACATGGCCAAAATAAGTCAAAATGCCGTGACCGAGCTCCTTCAAAGAGTGAAAAAAAGGTCTCGGAGGTTATAAATTTCGACAAACTTTTGAAAATGAACTCAGCTTTTCTACTATAACTAAAATGAGCGCTTCATGGCTGACAGCAGTATTTAGACAGCTGATACCCAGGAAGCAAAGATCAAAGCGAAAGAGAAAGGCTTCGCCGGCCAGCTTCTCGTTATCCTGAAACGAGGTAGCTCCTTCAAGGCTGGTAATTCATATGATCGCTACGACCGACTGTTCCCATTTGATCCTTACGAGTTTTTAGACAGCTGATATTCAGGAAGCAAAGATCAAAGGGAAAGAGGAAGGCTTTGCCGGCCAACTTCTCGTTATCCTGAAACGAGGTAGCTACCTCCTTCAAGGCTGGTATTCAAATGATCGCTGCTAGACCGACTGTTTCCATTTGATCCTTACGATCAGTCTGCGGTCGACGAGATAGAATTAAAGTATTTGTCAATCGCAACAATCACTGAAGCATTGTTTCGATATGATCGCAACAATCGCCGAACTTTTTTAAAACGATCGTGGCTATCATATATGGAAACCATTGTTTTTGTTGTTTTACTGTCAGTTGTTCCGTTTTGCATTTCGGGTCACACAGCTCCGATTTATCAACAATTGCGACGTTACTCTTCCGCCAACCATTTTATCTGTTTATGGATTGGTTTTATTCACGTAATTGTTAATCAAAAGTGACCCAGCGAGGTTAGTTTTATCAACTTTCTCTGTTTTCTTCCCGCTCAAACCCTGTCTCAAATCCGCAAAATTAAACTCGCATGCAAAAAATAAATGTCGTACAACCCGGGGCTTCTGTTTTTGTTCAAAAATAATAAAAGCGGTAATTATGTTCCTCCCAACAGCGGAAAACACATGGAAGGTTTACACGCTGCTTTTGATCTGCAATTTAAACGTCACAGGACATTTTTACGCAAGTTCTTAGTCTCCCAAGCATTAACATTTCGCAATTGGAAATGAACAGGTGATAGTTTGGTTGTTATTCAGCCGTCGAGAGATAATTAAACCCAACTTGAATAGGGTTCGGAAAGCAATTTTCATCAATTCACAAGTTCAGTTCAACATACAGTGGAACGCCGATTTCTCGACTTAACCCTCATTTTTTCGAACCTCCCGATAACTCGAACCAAAAGCCGTTTCCCTCTCCTCACTGTAATTTTACACCCGATCTCAATGTGTTAAACTCATTTTCGTTTTCCTTGGTGCTTCGCAAAAGTCGAGATTCGACTGCATTTCTTATTACGAAACTTTGCTTCACTGAGGGTTTTCGGCGCAGCTTGTACCGTAATTTTCTGCGTCTTTCGAACTTTAAATTTCAGTTAAATTCTCTGCTGGCAAAGGACACGCTCGGAACTTGATCTCGCGAAACATGTTGACACGAATATAAAGTTGTTCACAGAAATTTAAGTCTGCGATAAATTCAGTTTTAGTTAAATCTGAAGGGAAGAAGACGGTTGTTGAACGATAGAACAGATCTTTAGTCACCTCAAACGTGTCTCCTTTCTTGTCCAAAAGTTGACAACTGACTTAATTTTTTGGCTTGTAATAAACGCTCAGGCGGGTAGTCACTTAATGGAACTGAACATGCAGTGTATATTGGTGCGTTCAGAGAAAACTGAGTCATTTCCACCGGACACTGGAAAAAATATTAGGTCCATAACTGCTGAAGGAATTCAAAAGTGGGAAGACGTTTCGGGTCTTACACAATTCCCTGTGCTTACTTTATCTTTAGCAGCCAATCCGGAACGAGCTAAGAAAATAGATATCTTTGGTAACTGAATATTGCAAACCAGAATATTTTTTTTTGTACTGATTTCCTTTAAACTAACGTCTAGTGAATGCAAATCGCGCACACTGTGAGTTTACAAGTCACTGAAAGCACATCAGTTTTCAGATTTATTTTGCTGTCGCCGTTTTCTCTTGAATTGTTATTACGCGATGAATCGGTTAACCAGTTTACTGGCAATTCTCGTTTCGTGTGTTTCGTTCGCGAAGTCGTCCGGGGAAGTTTTCCACGAGTATTGTGTTGTCGGCGCTGGGCCGGGAGGTAGGTAATTTTCAATTTCAACTTAATGGAAGTTACTCCTTGTTGTTCATAATCTATTAAGTTAAAATGTGTTCGTTAATTATACAGTGCTTTGTAAATTTTATTCGTGCACTTGTTGATACTGAAATTTGTTAAATTTGCTCCCTCAGGTCTTCAAATAGGATTTTACCTTGAACGTGCCGGGCGCGATTATGTAATCTTTGAACGAGATGGTCTAGCAGGTATTTTCTTAAAAGATAATGGTACTTTTAATATCACTACTAGCTACTCTAAAACCCTGTTTTATCGCCTTCAGGTTGCCCGGTTAGGCTAAGTTTAGTTATTTGGGGAAAACATTTGCCCGAAAAAAGGCGAGAGAATGAGTAGGGCAGCAGTGCAACACAGGAAAGCGAGAGAACGACGACAAAAAACAATACAAACTGGTATACCAGAATCTTCAAAGGACCTTTGCTTAAATGCTCACTGACCTTCTTTCTTTCCTCGCCCCAAGCCCCTCCCTATTTTTCTGTCTCTCTCTCCGTTTTTCGCGCTGCCTTTCCAACTGATAGACTGCAGCTTGGTTTGTTGGGAGCGAAAAAGGGAAAGTAGTATAAATGAGTCAGGTATAAATAAGCGGAAAGAGAAGGCAGAACTGGTAAATAAGCTTTACTAACTAAGGTTCAAAATGAAGACATGCTCACCATCAGTAGTAGTTGAGATAAAAAAAAAGACGTGTAAAAAATTGAAATGTTATAATTTCTCAAACAATTCGTGGTTATTACTAAAAGAACATGTTATTCTAGACTGGGGCCTGTTTCTCGAAAGCCTCGGAAACTTTTCGGGCCCGCAAAGGCAGTTTTAATTAATCTGCATCTTAAAACAGAAAGGTGTATACGCCTAAAACTTCTTGTATGAAGGGAACCTCTGTTCATATTAAGAATATGTGAATAAAACAGCTCTGTAATCATAAGGTTTGAGATTTTGCTACGGCTTTCCGGGTGCGAAAACTTTTCGGGACCTTTGAGAAACGGGCCCAGATTGAAACCGACAAGTACTGAAGCCGTCTGCAAGTCAGATAGTAATAAGTTATTTAAATTCAACCTCCTCGTTACAGAGCTAGTTTCCTTGAGCTTCCTTTATAACACAATAAAGTTATTTATATTTTTATCCTAAGTTCTGTGAAACTAAACTTGGAACTCTATTTTACTACATGGGTGATAATGTTGCGATGTCAATACAAAGTGACGTGTGGGTAAATTTTCTTTAATTATGCAAACCTTCGTAACGGTATTATTTTAAAACATTTGTGGTAATCAATGGCATTTTCCGGCAGATCTTTTAAATGTTTTTCTCTTAGGCTTAAACAAGTGATCTCAACGTAACTAAGAGTGACAAATATTACTTGTCTCACTACGTGCAGATCTTCATCAACAAAATATTATCTTGCATATCGCTTAGGGCAGATGTTTGAGTGGAAATTGACTCTCGGTTTTAACTCAGTTTTGTTTCCTAGAGCATTTCAGATATCAAATGGTACTTTTGCAATATATAGGATTTCTTTTATGTAAAAATCAAGTCAATATTGCATGATTATTAGGTCTATTTCTTTGAAAAATGAAAACATCTGTCTCCGCGTTATGTGCACCTGTACATCTGCTGTTACAGTATCCTTCAAAGTTTCTTTTGTATAACAGATATGCTCATCGCATCTCAGAGAAGAAAAGAAATGTTAAACCCCATATTGTTTGTAAGTTGATAGGAAAGGCATAAAATTTCTCTTGATCACTTCTGTTTTTCATCTTTGACATTTAAATAGAAAGAAAGCAAGCATGACCCGTTTTTAGTTTAACATTATGTTTCTGGTTTTTTTCTTCATTAATTGGTCTCTTGGTTCGTTCAATCGTCCATCAAAGCAAGTTTAAGATATCAATAAATATCCTCTGCCCTTTTTTTGTATATATGTTTAAAAATTTTGTTACCCCAGCCCAGGCTGAACTTTCTTTGTTTCTTTCTGCCGATTATAGGAAGACTGTACTCTTAAGAACATTCTTAGATTATAGCGTATGACAGTTCCGTTTCATTAACTTTGATGGCGTTGAAGTAATTTTGGTGCCAGACTGTAGGCAATAAGGCCTGATATGACACACAGATCTTCTTGCAAAAATGTTATAGCATCGAACACACAGCTGGTGCTGTTTTTGTTGTTTTCTGGCTAGTTTTGCAGTATAGAGAACGGAAGAATTTTATACGGTTTAGTAAATAACATATAATGGTATTGTATTTACAAATTTTCAACACAAAAAAATCATCCTCTTTTCAAAATCTCAGCCTCAGATTTATTCTTAAAATATTCTTAAAATTTCACAAATTAGTCTCGATATACTTATAGAAAAAAAAATTGTATATAATTTATCATGGAGCAGTTTTCAATTTAGTGTACTAAAGCAAAACCATTGTAATCACTCTGGCCAGTAACAAATTACACATACAGTCAATCCATTGCACCAATCAAAACTCAGAGCAAATACACGTAGCCGCCGGTAAGCGCGGGAAAACCTGTGCGAGCGAGTCACGATTGGTTTTGGCTTGACTTCTGATTGGATTACAACGTGACGTGAACTTTTTTTTTAACCAATCGCTTAGCGTTACGCGCAGGTGAAAACCACTCCATACATATATTCCTTTCAGATTTTAGTTCTGAGAATTTTATAGTTCCTGGGTCAGATAATTTATTGTAAAATAATATAATGCAATAATTACGCAATTGTTGTATTTTGCAAATCACCGGTTGACACTCCTAAATAGAATCTACTTTGTTAACAAGTTATTTTAACACTTTTTATTCCTAGGTGCATTTTACGCGAAGTATCCAAGACATAGAAAGTTAATATCCATTAACAAGAGACATACAGGTATGCAACATAAAATTAAGTTTGTATTTTTAAGTTTCCCTTTTATCCGTTTTTAAAAGTTCTTGTACATATTTAAAATTTTTACTTAGCAGCCATAACTTACGCACGGGCCCCTGCTGATACCAGCCAATGGCTGATGGGGCCACTCTGCCTAAATAAAGTTTGATCTGACTTATAGAGCTGTTTTCAAGCGAGTGTTGTGAAACCATAAAAACATACATACCTACATATATACGTTTATTTCACGTCCCCATGGGGCTTTTCATTTAAATATATAACACAATAAAAGGATATGGAGTGAAATAAAGTAAAGGTTATCAGTCTGGCCACTCAAAGACTACACTGACAATCCAATGAACCAATCAAAATCCAAAGCAAAAAATACTTCACTTCTGACTGGATGACAAAGTGGTGCAGCAGCGTGATAATGCAAAATGTGAATTACATTTGACACTCAGGACATAACTACTCTAAAGCCTTGTAAGTGATTATTGATCAAGTACAAACTATACGGTACAAGCAACTTTTTCAGTTTTCATGCCCTACTGTAAAACATCCCGGATAAAAGTTACTGGGCTCTAACCATTTTTTTTTCTTGACAATTAAGTCATCTAGTATGCAATGATATGTGCAGAGAGCTATATAATTATCAAGCATCCTAGGTGTCTGCATTGCGTGCAAATATCCAGTTATTTTGCACGGCTATTTTAAAATTTTCTTTCTTTTTCCTTTGT